CAATTTTTGTTATAAATCAAAATGATGGTCGTAACACAATGATGAAAATGAACATTATTTCAATTGATATAATTATAATGCAACACGTATTAAGATAATATGCTCTTACTAGAGTATTAATGCAAAAACTGAGGTTTTAATTAATGAAAGCTTATTAGGTCACGTTAACGTAGCAAACATACAATGATGAAATCGTATATACCAATACAAACAAATTAATTTAAATTTTAAATATGCAGGTACAAAGTAGTGCATTTAACACGTTTATGATAAATGGGCAATCTTAATTTTCAAATTGACAATGAACTGTGTTAGTAAATGTTCACATATTTATTTCGAGGACTATATATTCTGATTCTGACAGATAAATAATATTAGTATGTAAATAAATGACATAATTACGGAAGCGTCCTGGTGCCAATTTACCATGTTTTATAAAATTTGAAAACTCCTACGTAGGAGATAGAAAAGCCTATTTAGGAGTTTATAACTCCTACGTAGGACTTTATACGTCCTACGTAGGACTTTGTTATTCCTACGTAGGAGATAAAAAAGCCTAATTAGGAGTTTATAGCTCCTATGTATGACTTTTAAACTCTTACGTAGGACTTTTTAACTCCTACGTAGGACTTTGTAAATCCTTCGTAGGACCTTGTAACTCCCACGTAGAAGAAAAAAAGCCTAATTAGAAGTTCATAACTCCTATGTAGGACTTTATAACTCCTACGTAGAAGAACACGTGGGAGTTATAAACTCCTTATTAGGTTTTTTTATCTCCTACGTAGGAGGTACAAAGTCCTACGTAGGAGTTATAAACTCCTAATTAGACTTTTTTACTCCTACGTAGGAGTTTAAAGTCCTACGTAGGATTTTGTAAGTCCTACGTAGGACTTTTAAACTCCTAATTAGGTTTTTATATCTCCTGCGTAGGAGTTATAAAGTCCTACGCAGTACTAATAAAGCCCTACGCAGGACTTACAAAGTCCTACGTAGGAGTTATAAACTCCTAAATAGGCTTTTTTTTATCTCCTACGTAGGAGTAATAAAGTACTACGTAGGAGATATAAAGTCCTACGTAGGAGTTATCTTTTTTATAGAACATGTTAAATTGGCATCAGGACGCTTCCGTACATAATCATATCAATGTATTCAAAACATTATTAACGAGGGAAAATTATATCAGAGTTGAAACTTTGAAATATCATAAAGCACTTCAATACATATCTATGTAATCTATGAAATGCCCAGTTTATGAGATACCAATGATAAGTGTTTTGCAATCTTTGAAAGATCTATCATATGCAGTATTTAATTATCCACAACAGTCACATAAATAATACCATTGTAGGCCTGCTGTCACTTTTATCTTTCAAGAATTGTCTTATCAAGCCGCCTACAGTTGTCACAGATATATTTCTCATAGGTATTAAAGCAACACGCCTCCAGATTCATGCTAATTTTTATGAAAATTTTGAAAATGTGTTTAAAAGTAGTATTTAGTGAAATAACCAAAAAGAAGCAATTTGCAAATTATCAATGGCACTTACAGCCCACGAAATTATGAAAAAGAGGACGAAATATGCAAACTTGCCCTTACTGCGTTATAAACGCAGTAGAAACATAATTATAAATACTGAAAAATCAGTCATTAATTGCACATAATATGTAAATTATTACTTGAATCTTGAATAATTTTACTTTGCCTAAAATCTTCGTACATTTTCTCAAATTTGTTTTTATTCAAATATTTTCGCTCATCTGGAGGCATGCAGCTTTAAATATTGCTTAATTTTGTTACTTTACTTTATTTCATATTTAAATGATAATTTGTTACAATTTTAACCAGTTTGTTTACGCTTGAAAAAATTGCATCAAGACAGTTTGTGTCTATATTCATTTTTCATTGTTTATCGATAATTAGGTCAGTCTTATAATTAATTTATGCTCATATATGTGACTTTACAACATTATATTTTATAGAATGGTATTTAACGTGACCGTGCCTAGTTGATGAGTTTGCTATTCTTTCCGTCCCTGTTACACTGAAAAAGTTTTGATTACTTAAGAAATATTAACAGTATTAGTGGTGTTTATCGGCTATTTAACACCGAATTCAAGTTTTGATGCGTATGAATTGACCATGAAGGTCGTGGAAGTAACCATTTAGCAGATATCGTATATACAAAAAGTATAAGAGCTAGTGCTGCAAATAATTGGTTAAACAACGTAAAATGTAAGTATGTTCCACGAGAGGTTTGTATCACATCATCCATTATCTTAGATTGCAAAAGAAAACAAACAAAAAAACAACAAAACAAATGCAATATGCCTCTACAATTTTCAGAGATAAACATGAACCAAAAACTGACTTTACATAATTATTCCCTGCGGTCTCTGGAAACCGCTGGGTATTTGTACGCGTTTTAACTTTTGAGGCATGGAGGAGCACGTTACCTGTTTTCGGCACATGGAGGAGCACGTGATCTGTAAACTATATGATTGGTAATTACCTTTTCTAAACCAATGCTAAATACCCGTTTACCGGTACGTTACGGATTTACCTTCTAGGGAATGTAGTCCCCATTACACCTAATTAAGAACAAAAAACTATTACGTGATATTTCTAATTTTCTATATAATTATTTACCGTTTAAGGTGGAAAAACAAAACTGAATGATGTGTTTTGAAACTTATCAACTGCATTCTTTAATATCTATCTCACATTTTTAAAACAATAAATGTTTATACTGAAATCTACAAGATTAATTTTACGTATAGTGGACATCTGCCATAATAAATAGAGATATTTCTCGTAAAACTTGTGACGTGTTTACCTTTTTTTGCTCGGAATTATTCATAAAATGGTAGGCCTATTTAAAATTTTTCTTAAAAAGAAATAATTGTTTTATGTACGACCTTTTTCCGTCTTCAACGGTATCCAGTTCTTAAAGACTTTCTTCTATATTGAGTCGATTAAATGTCAACTATAATTCCTGATACAAAATCGTTTTATTTATCCCCCAAACAATGTTGAAAATAGTTGAAGGAAATATCTTTATATCATTAAAAACGTTCCCCGCAGGAAACCATTTTACTTGTTATACTAGTATGTATGAAACTGCAATAATGAAAAACATCAATCACAGGTCAATTTAATATCAGCACTTCATGTGTAATCTGTTTTCTTACAGGAGAATGTGGACCTCGTAAAATAGTTGATCTAAATCATAATGGCATGACACTACGTCTGGTAAAATAACTTTGTGAGACTTAATCAATTAATTGCTGTGAATGTTGATTGTTTTCCCAAAAAAGGAATATGATTTGTGTCAAAAATCCGATCAAAATTCACTACGGACATTCGTTTTTCTTCCATGTTCAAATGCATGTTTAAATGTGCCTTTAACCTTGCTTACCTAAATAAGGACTGAATCGCAAATATTTAAGTATCAATAAGGACTTGAGGGCAAGACAATGTAATCACTGAATGAGGCCGATTATCAAAAGTATAATCTGAAGAATGCAATAAAGGCCTCTCCACGTAAACTCGTTTTTGTTTTTAAAACATATTGATGGGTAAGGGGGGGTTTATTTTGGTTTTTTTTTAAAAAAAAATAAACCCCCAAAAATCATAAAAAAGAAGTTACCCCGCTTTTACAAAATTTAAAGGGTTACATTAGCCAGGGTGTTATTACATTAATATTCTTGACTGCGCATCGTGCATATTTCTATAGAGTATTCAATACGTCAACGAAATTTTCATCAGTATTATTCAACTTCCTCTACCATTTAATATTTTTCTCATTTGTTTTGGATTTTCATACAAAAATTTTTAAACGTGACGGTTCTAATGGTGTTATTTTTTGGTCAAAAACCGTTTGAAATGCAATAATGTCCCTTTTTTTGACATTTAAACTTATTTTGTTTTTCATTTATATACCCATTTGTTTGACAATTACCCCATTTACGTAAGGGCCTGATATGCAATTGTTTTAAAGGACAAAAAGTTCTATGTCAAATTTTGTAGTTTCTGTTAGTTTTTGAGTTTTATCAATGAAAAAAACCCAAAGAAATAACATACATTATTTTTTTTTTCCTCTTTTTTAAACCACAGAAAAACTCTCAATTTGGCAACTGCTAAACCGCATTTTAGTTTATCAAATTAATGTCACAAAGATGTTTACACTTGTAAGCTATTTTGGTAAAAAATCAACAATGAGATACAGTTTCGTGTTTTAGCGCGAAAGTTAGCACATTTTATAAAGTAAGGATACACATTTCATTAAAATGTCATTTTAATACTATAGTTTTGTTAAATGTTCTTGATACATTTATTGTAACTAAAGCAAGGTAAGCCGATACTATATTTCGTTTTTATGTGAAACATGGTGTAAATATACGTTTATGAAAATGGCATACAAATGACAATATGCTTATAGTTGTTGCAGGTCGATAGCGTGTAACATGTCACATTATTATACCTCACGACGTTCAGTTATTATATATTTTCAGTCCCCATACATATCATTGCTCATGCGCATTCTTATTGCTGGACCTATGTTATTACTTATTATGTTTTGTACAAACCGAAATAAATACTACTTTCTGAAAACTTGTTCATAGAATCGTTTCCTAAATACGTCGTTAGATGTTATATTTACAACAACACAATAGTAAGGTAGGCTCGCATACATCATGTACATACATATTTGTTTTATTATAATCCATTGAAGAGAAAAAGATCCGGGAAAATAACCTTTGGTGGTTTTGAACAAAGTAAATAATGTTTTTGTTATTTCTACAAAAAAGTCATATCCATGCATTATTTATGCATTACGCAACGAAATAAAGTGATACAAACTGTTTATTAGAACAAAAAAAACAACATTATTTTCTTCTGATTTGCGGTTTAAAACATCGCATTATATGTTGTCAGGTGATAAACACCATTAATGCTTCACATTGTGCAAGGTACTGTTAGACCACAAAAACAGTTAACAACATTTGAAAACTTACAGATCCGGTCTTTAAGAAAAAAAAATGAAAATGCGCGCTTATATAAATAAAGATACGCTTACATTGGTCAAGACAGGAAATTTGTGAACGCAGATAAGTTATCAACGTTATATCCAAGTTTCGCATTGATTCAAAGGTAAGTTGAGTTTTTGATAATGTGATACGTATTTTAACATACCATAATTCTAATTATCTGACGAAATTAGATGGTGTTGCATAATATTCCTATGATATTTCCTATATGTTAAGAACAGATGTACGCTAATGGAGAAACCAATGACATTATCAATAACGTTTTCATGAAATAGCTAATATTTCAATTTGTTTTCAAAATCAAAACTTCAACCATGTTTTGTGCCATGTTGTTTTTTTCTGGAGTCATTGTACTACACGTATGTATGTTATTTATTTGTGGAAAGATAGGATATTGAATTTATGAGTATGAAGGTAGGAAATAATTTAAGTTGTAAGGACTGCTTTTTCTAAACAATTCTTTTATCTTTGTACTGCAAAACCGTCTTTCGTGTGTTGCAAGCAGAAAATAAGTACTTGTAAATGCATAAGAAATAAGTGATTGTTGTCATAAAGTTAGAAACAAAGTCAGTCAAGGCAATGCAAACATGTCATGATAAACGAGACTGGAATAGTATCCTAGTCATATAGTTTAAGGTTTTCAACAGTTCGTCAAAAGGACAACTAGTATACTCACAGCAGGACTCAACTGCAGCCATTCTAGTGCCCGCTTGAACTGACCTTAGTTGGTTAGGGTATCAATGTTGCCTTTCTTCCAAAGTATAATCATATAGAGAGTCATTTTACAGATGATAAAGTTTGTATTTGTTGACAAACAGGTAGATAGCGAAAACAGGCCTCATATGTCACTCACACGCAATGTATTGTAATCTTGATTTTAGAGGACAATTTATAAACATTTATGATTCTTTGGTTTTAAGGCGAAAACGCTGAAACACGCAAGATGAATTTGGCTACCAGGGGTTAAAATTACCTCACTTGTTTGAGTTAAGAGATGCATAGATTCCTGTCTTTCGAAGCATTAAACCGCCTCTTACGACCACGCAGGATTAAAAGGTGACTGCAATTATGATACATTAACCAGTAATGGTAACCGTTCAGTACCAATGGGGCATAAACATGTATGATGTGTTTCAACAACACAGCTTTAAAATTAATCATCTTTTTTTCTAGCGTACTTTTATTCATTTACAGCCACTTACCATGACATCAAATAAAGCCATCGTATGTGTTTTTTTCCTGGCAGCGTTTTGTATATCTGGGATCCTAGGGGCAGGTGGAAATAGTTGTTGGGCTCCACCATTATTCTTTGGATCAGAATGCAAGTATGTAACATATTTATATATGGCTCTGTTTTTTTTTTATATCTATTGGAAAATTGACAATATATAGTTGGGGTGTATGCCTTAAACGACACATGTTTGCCATTTATTATAAAATTCCCATAACGTTTTTGCACTTTCAGACATTTTGTTTTGGTGTGAATTTAATCTTAGACATTAAAAGAGCCAAGTTTCAGATATAATGAAACTCTAAAGAATTAGATATTTCGTCCAAAGTCGTTACATTTATAAACGTTTAGAAACGAATGATATATACATAAAATTAAATGTAAATAACCCAAACATGCTGTATAATTCATTTATCTCGGAAGTTAGAAGTATGAATAAAAATGTAGCCAAACCTATGACAAACGCTGGTGACATCTTAACTACTTGAATTCTCGAGTTCATCGTACAATTTCAACATACAAAATTTACGATTTCAACATACAGAATTCACAAAACTTCACGAATTCAACTTCACGAATTCAATTTTGCGAACTCACATTTTGAACTAATGTTGGAAACGTGAATTGACGAACATAAAATCGGAAATTCATGAAGTTGAAATGTTCCGTTTGGTATTTTGTACAAATACGATAAATTTGGTTACTGTCTCTGAAGCATATTGATTTATCTTGACACTATGTGACATTTTTAATGTTTACTTTTGATTTATAGAATCTTTAATTTATCAGGAATGATATTGAACAATTGATTTAACATTTAACACAATTAAATAACGATCATATACAATAAATATTGCAAATTTAATTTTCATTCAAAACAATGTTGACCGCAGTGAAATTCAAACACACATTCACCAGTTTCTTTTTTAACATTGATACTAAATAATTTACATACTCTTTAGAGTAAAGTTTATGCATTTATTTTACATAATGACAAATAAAATGTCCAACAATATAATTATAAGTAGTTTTTTAGGCATTTCAAGAGAACCGTATTTTTATTTATTTATAGAAGCTATATAGGTTTGATATTTATGCTCATCTACAATCAATGGTACGCGATTTCTTCCTCAGCAATGTCGATTTTTGTCACTATTTAAATGCAATTCTTTGGGAAGACCAAACTTTGCGTTTAGTGTAATATTGTTTTTATAAAATAACGTGATTCATATTCCTGTAGGTCAGACACATCTATAATTGGACACCCAAGCACGAAAATCGTGTATTCGATCAGCTTTAATGGAAACACAATGCTTTGCTGCAAAGCGTTTTACTGCAAGAACAATAGATGCAAACTTTATGATATCGGATGCAGCGCTAGAAGTTGGAGGACAAGGGTCCTACCTTGGGGAAACTGGATTGGCACACCGTCTGTTCAATGCAAAGGCGTTGTTCTCGGGGCGGCTTATACCTTCTCTCACTAGAGATACCAAATGAAGTCAGTCACATGCCGAGATAATATGTGTATTTTTAAGTAGAAAATGACGATATATATTGAAATTGCTTCTGTTGTTTAAAGAAATGATTATACTGAATTCACTATATCTTTTTTCATTTCTCTTCTTCAGTCTATTAATCCAAAATAAGTTTCTAAACTGCAACATATTGTACGCTCGATGACAACATGTGATTTATTTGAATAATTCTAATAAAACATATTATTTCATTTATGTTACATTACTTTTATGCTTAACCCATCCTCATGCCTTTACACACATACTCACAGCTTAACTGGTAGAGGAAGATCTCAGGTGCCCCGCCGTTAATTTATCAGGCACTGACACCAGAGAGGAAACACCAACGTTCCGAACAGTACTGGTGTCATGTGAAGAAACATGCTCGTTACCCATGTATAGCTCGTACCTATGATACCTATCAACGGCATCGTTTACAACGAGTTTAAAACTAATCAAAATTCGAATCATATAATTACACTGTTATAAAATGTTATATAGGAGAGCACTCATAAAAGGAGGCTTCCAGAAAACCCATATTTTAGTTTAATGTCCACATATCCTGTTCAGTTTTCTCCCCTTCTTACACACCTCCTCTATTGTTTGTGACAGGTCTATATTTTTCGGATAGACCTGTTTAAACAAAAGAAAGTCCGTTTTCGCACGTGCACAGGTCTGTTCTAGTAAAACAGACCCGGTCATGAAAAACACGTGAAAAATAGACCTGCCTATGCACAGACAAAGAAAACATGAAACGCAATAAAAAAATGAATTCAAATGTAAATGATTGTCATAATGTTCCTGTCTTACAAAATCGGGATACAATTTTTAAACAAGATAATGTTTATTGAATGCACTTAGCAATTATTCCAGCATCCCTAATCTTTGAATGAAAATAATGGATAGCATATCAAAGTTAGGACACATTTAACATTTATTGAATCGCGTATCTAACTGGTTCTTCGGTCATTAAGTTCACAAATATATAAAAATGGGCGCTTCAAGTTCATTCATATGAAACTATAGCAGTAATCAAAGCATACTTATTACGATTTTAAATCACCTAATCCATAACAATTTTAACGTTCTAGAAAATTCACAGTACATAAAATTGTACCAAAAAATCATATCGAAAAAATATACCAAAAATATGTCCATTTCACAACTTTTCATCATTTCGTATACGCTCTGCATTAGAAACCGCAGCTACACACAGTTAAAAGAAAAGTCTCTGGTATCATTCCCACCCGCGGGATCAATCAGATTGTAAAATCCCCGTTAACCCCCGCCCTCTTTCTTTGAGTTAGGCTTTATTCTGTTTTTCTATTAAACCAGAGGAAAATCAAAACTGATTTCCGCTGAAAACTTTCAAAGCCAGGGCTTAGTTTCAATGAATGCTACATAACAACATTAAAGGAAATTTGTATTGATAGAATCCAAACCTTGCTTATAGTGACATGCATGTACAAGTACTTAATGTGGATTGGTCTACAATGGGCACATCTTCTATTATTATTTCAAATATCGATAGAAACGATAGAAATGTATTATTCGGATATAATTAAAAAAATCTTAAAAAAAGAAATGTCAATAAAGTTATTAGTGATTTAGTATTAAAATTTTTATGATGAACAGTGATATTTTATTCTAGAACACTATATAACCTGCTATATAAATATCGTTTCGGTTTAGTATCTCACACTTGTCAACAATATACATATGTAAGTCTTTCGTGGTCTGCTGGATATTCGGACATTACCCTTCGGACAGTTGCCACCTCTGAAGGCCCCCCCCCCTCTTTGCAGTGGCTGTCATTTGCCCCCCTCATATCTTTGGAAGTGTCGGGCACCCCCTGTTTTAAAAACGTTAAAATATTTTGTTGAATTGTTTGCTACCAAAATTCATCGCCTTAAAGCTGCACGCCTCCAGATGAGCCAAAATATTTCAAGAAAATCAATATTGAGAAAAAAGTAATAAAATTTTAAGAAAGGTAAAATCATTCAAGGTCCAAGTTATATTTTTCATGTAATGTGCGGTTTACGAATGGTTTTACAGTATGTTATTACCATATTTCTACTGAGTAGCTAACGCAGTAAGGGCTACTTTTGCATATGTTGACGACTTTTTTGTTATTTTCTTAGATTGTAAGTGCCGATTGCAATAGTAAAGTACTTTATTTATTCACCTTACAATATTTTACTGTGAAATACATTTCCAATTTTTCATAAAAATTTACATGAACCTTGAGGCGTGCTGCTTTAAATACACAAAAAATCTCGCGCAGACTAGTGAAAATCAAAATAGCATAAAAAAAATAAATATAATATTTCCAATGACATACAAAAAAATCTTTACACGAGATTACCTCTGACAAGTGACAAGTCGCAACAGCAAAATAAAAAAGGCAAATGTCCGAGGGCCGAGGGGGGGGACAACTGTTCGGGGGCAAATGTCCTAGATTCCGCGATGTCTGATACGAAATGATATCAATATATTTATGCATTCTTTAGCATACCTTCCATTACAGTCCTATTCACTTTTTCATTGGCATATTGCACATTTAGCTTTTTTTGATTATTATTTTAAAGGGAAAAGCAAAGTTAAATGCAAAATATGTATTGTATTTAAGCAGAACATTGATAAAGCTTACCTGTATTTGTGCATTACATCAAATGATTGCTCAAGCCAATATAGTGTTACGGTGTGTAAGTTGGATATCGGCCTCGTACATCGATCTTTCTGTTTAGGAAAGACCTCGTACTCGGTCGATATCCTATACATAAATTTTTTATTGGTTTTCATCATTTACAGACGGGTGGCAGAGAAAATGTGCATGGAATTAGGAAATATAAAACATCAGATATATGTGACTCTAACGAACGGTTTGACACAATATCGCATTTTCTCTATCATATAGTTTTGCTTTAAAAACTTAAAATTTGCCAAATAATCGTGATACAACAATACGGAATGTTGTACAAGACTTACATAATACATTTGTAGTTGAGCTTTTATCAAATTTCGCCCAAATTAGGGTTCTGATTTTATTCAAATATGAATACCTTATTTTGCCGCAAAGTTTTATCTCATCTAGTAAGCATATGAATTTCAAAGCTAGCTGTACAAAGTGCAACATAAACTCGTCTATTTTATATCGTTTATGATTGTCAGAAGGTCAATATTGACCATTGTTTGTCTTTGCAGTAACGATAACGTTTTTTTTTCATTTTTAATAAAATAATAAGATTTAAACAACAAAGCAAAACAAACAACACAAATGGGTTTTTTATATATTATTTATTTTCTCTACAAAAGACCTTTTTTCGTCTTCAACAGTGAACAAAACAGGAATTTGAGTAAAACAATGTCAGTATGTTTCGCACTCACATAAGAAAATCATTTTTTTCTTGTTCTATTTTTATGAACAGAGTAAGTTTTATCAATCTGAATGCAAAAATAAACTTTTACCATGTTGCTATATTGCAGAACTAGAAATCAATCTGTGTTTCACCAAGGACATGCTTATTACTGCAAGGACTAATGAATGTTACTTTAAGTACTTATAGCTTTAAATTTACGTTTATTTTTTATCATTGAACTAACAATTATATGTTAACAACATAAAGAAATGAAAATAAGCTTTGAATTATTCTTATATAGATCTTGACTTTGAATAACAAAAGTAAGGGAAGAACTCTTTTAAAGTTACAGGACGGACATATTTGTTACTGAAGTGACAAAAAAAAAATAAAGAAATGATAAGGTGTTATCATTTATTTACAAACAATAATCAATTGACTTTGAGCACCATTACTACTATTTGTATAAGATATAAACATTTCACAATTGTATAGACATGAATTTAAATCGGGGAAAAGTTACAAGTCTTTAAGGTAACCAAGCAATGTTGTGAGTTCGCATAATTCAGTCTAAACTCGTCCCAGTCAATGTTATAAACAAGTTCAAAGAGAGTACCATCAAATGTTTTGAAGATTGATATTACATGCTATATTTTTAATCAGGAGTTTTTTAAGTTAAATAATTTAAATTAAATGCAAAAGTGCAAAAGTTCTTGGCCTTTTAGAATGCATAATTTTAATCCTGAATGACTGTAATAAATTTCCAGAGATTCTTTCTTTTGCCAAAGCCATTCAAAGCCAAACAGTCATGAGGACTACTTTTAATCACTAATTTTAGTAGTTTTAAAGACAACAATTTTCTTTTGTAAAAATGCCTTAAAGGCTTGCTTGTGAATGATATAAGTTGTTGATTTCTATTTTGCAAAGTAAACTGTAATTCTATGCAAAAAAATAAGTCTCTGTAGAGATAAGTACCAAGAACTTTCCTTCTATATACTGGTACTGCCTTATTACTTTTATTTCTAAAATCGCTACAGTTATTTTGTGAAGTGACATGCATTTCAATTACCACAATATGTATATTGTCCTTACAGTAACTTAATGTTGAGGATTCTAAAGGGTGCAAGATTATTCAGATTTTCCTCAATTTTAACAAAAGCAATGTACTGTAAAAGCAAAAAATAACCCAATTGAATTTACATACTGAAACACAAAAGAAACTTTCTCCAAGTTTGAATGTAGATATGTTAGTACAGTACATTGGGTTTGAATTGAAAAGTCCTTTCAATAACACAGGTTGTCCTTCGAATAACAAAATAACATAAGGAGAAGTTTTAAATGGCATAAATGTCTAATTATAGAATAAATATATTAATAATAACTAGATTATGCCAACAAGAAAATGTATATCGTATCTTTATCCATAATTATATGTTAAAGAAGAATTGTGTTGTATTTTGTACTTTCAGTAACAGATTTTGTACTTGCAGTAACATTATTGTAAGGACAGTTACTGCAAGGACTTATTCAGGTTATTTTACAGCCTGTTTACACAGATGAGACAAGGGAGACAATTATTGTGATCATTTAATTCATGACTGAAACATATTTGCAAATAGCAGCAATACAAAAGGGAATCTTTCTCATAAGTTAAATAATTAGAATGTCGTTACTTAAAGGACACTGTTCGAAATCATGGTTCCAACCTTTAATCAATGTCTTCCAATTTTCTAAATCCTATTTAAATTTTCCATATGTTTCGTTGCTGTAGCCATGCATTTCACCTATCACCTTCTTTTGAAGAGCACACTGCAACAATTTACTTAAACTAAAATAATCTACTTATAGTACTG